GTGGGGTACAGAGGCCGGCTCTGGAGGAGCTGGAAACCCACTGGGCGGCCCCGGCTCATTCCGGTCAGCACATGAGGCAAGGGCCGCCCCAGGAATGCAACCCTCCCTGCACCCGGTGCTGAGAATCACAACATTATTCACGGCCAGCCGGCTCCTGAGGAACCGGCTCCAGGCCTTACAGGGTCCGTCTGGCTTTATTAACGATTGCTGACTAACCCAGGGCTCCCCCGGAGAAAGCAGTGCCCCCGCGCCCGGGAGCGAGAAGTAAAAGACTGCCGGGAGCTGAGGGGTCCTGGGCGGGGTGGGTCCCTCCTGAGCAGCTGACAGCGGAGACCGGAGCGGCTGGGAAGACGGCCAAGGTCCCGGGAGCGGCAGGGTCCGGGTGGAAGCTCCGGGCGGCATCTAAAGCCAGCCCCCCGCCTGGCGCTGTGGAGGGGCCCTCGGCTCACCTGAGGCCTCGGGTTTTACCCGTAACATCAGCCCTGACCCCGCGGCACGGGGCGGGGTGGGGACGCTTTCTGACTCAGATGGTCCGAATGGATTTTGAAGACATCACAGCCCTCATCATCCAGGAATTTGACCACCGTACCCCCACCAGCTCCTCTCATTTGATCCTCGTACCTGTGAGGTAGGCAGGCTCAGTACTATTTTTTATTTTATTTGTTAATCTTCACCCGAGGGTATTTTTCCATTGACTTAGAGAGAGTGGAAGGGAGGGGGGAGAGACAGAGAGAAGGACTTTCCAGGGGTCTCTACGTGGGGAAGATCTCTGCAAATTCAGTCCTCCCTGTGGACACCAAGTATCCGAGCTTGCCTAAAAAGCTACCCAAAGTTTACTTTAAAGTTAATCAAATTTGGAAGCAATTACACACACACACACACACACACACACACACACACACACACAAAGAAAGGATGTTCTATAAGGTGCATTTTGGGCTGCCAAGGCCCAAATGACACACTTTCCTGATTTCTGTGGTCTAGTCTCTCAGGTTTGGTTGATACTTCAGCGTGTGAGGACCAGCCAGCCCCTGCCCCTGGTCCCCCAGCAATCTCTGCCTCATTGAAGGATTGAAGGGTGTGGCTGCCTTTTGTCAAGAAACAAGGGGCCTCAGACCCAACACCCGCACCTGCCCCAGACCCTTACCCTGCCCCATACCCTGTCCTTGCCCCTGCCCCTGCCCCAGACCCTGCCCCTGCCCCAGACCCTGCCCCTGCCCCAGCCCCTGTCCCTGCTCCAGACCCTGCCCTTGCCCCAGCCCCTGCCCCTGCCCCAGACCCTGCCCCTGTCCCAGACCCTGCCCCTGACCCTGGGCCGGCACCAGCGGGGAGTTGGAACCACCCAGCAGGCTGCCGCTGCTTCCGCTCCCCAGAAGCAGAAGTCTCCCTCACGCAGGACAGTGCAAGGCCAACCTCAAGCGAGAAGGAAAGCGGCCGTGCTTCCTCCCCTCGCAGGAGACGGGCAGATGGCCGGGTGCAACCTGAGCCTTTAACCACCGGGCAGAGGGGACGCCGAGGGACAGGCCTTACACATGGAGACGGCACCCTCCTGGAGGGCACAGCCAACCAGACGGGAAAGAGCATCGGGCTGTCCCAGGCTAGAAGGCGAGCCCGGAGCACAGCCTGCTGACAACTGCGAGCGTGTGCGCGTGTGCCTGTGTGCGTGCCTGTGTGTGTGCGCACGTGTGTGCACCTGTGTGTACCTACGAGTGTGTGTGCATGTGCCCGTTTTCCTGCTATGATTTGTGGCCGGAATTAAAGTGAAACTTAGCAATCAAGCAAGAGCTCACGTGTCGGAGCAACAGTGCACTTTGCACCCTTGGGGATCCGCTTACAAACACAGCCATCCCGTCCAGGACACACCGTCCGGGGCCGGCTCCACCGGGTCAGGTTAACCACGGCCCAGCCCGGGCCGCAGACCCGGGGAGGGAGTCCTGCTGCGGTAACGGCTCGCTTCCGTTCCCGCTCTCGCCTTGTAATAAGCACAGGCTCATAAAACCGGTCGAAGGCACCTCGACCTCCTGTCCCGGTGCCTCAACAAACCAGAAAGGAACCCTGGGTTCAAGCCAACTGGACCGGGCGCCACAAACCGTCCTGGGGAAGGAGGCATTTTTACAGAGACTCCCCTGCTCCCAGCGGCTCCGGTGAGGGTCCCGGTGTCTCCCTCTCCCCTCACCAATCACAAACACGGGGTGGCCCCTGAGCGGTCACCGGGGGGCGTGGACAGGCGCCCCGGGAAGGGTTTACAGTCCAGGCAGGGCTGCTGTCAGCAGTGAGCACACATCACCCACCCTTCCAAATGCATGAGGGCCCACGTCATTTATCATCAACGTCCCTTCAAAACGGCCACCTCTACAGAGAGGTCCTCAAACCCCTTTCCCTGCCATCCGTTATTTTATCAGGAAGCCAAGAAAGAGAAATCACGTAAGGCCGTGGTCGGCAAACTCTGGCTCGCAGGCCACAGGCGGCTCTTTGGCCCCTTGGGTGTGGCTCTTCCACAAAATGCCATGGCCTGGGCGCGTCTATTTTGAAGAAGTGGCGTTAGGAGAAGTTTACGTTTAAACAATGTGGCTCTCCCAAAGGACTCACGTGCACACACATGAGCCTAACCAGTGGTCAAGGACAATAGGAGGGTGGGGGCGTGAGTGGGGGGTGAGGGTGTGGGATTGGAATGGGGGGTTGAGGACAAATATGTGATACCTTAATCGATAAAGAAATTAATTTTTTTTAAAAATGGCTCTCCAAAGAAATGTCAATCGTTGTGCTGTTGATCGTTGGCTCTGTGGATGAATGAGTTTGCCGACCACTGACGTAAGGCAGCAGGTGATCGCTAACCACACCCGCATTCGCCGTGGCCGGAAGCACTGACTCACTCGTTACCCTGGCGCCAGCGGCACGTGGCACCACGCAGCGGGGCAAAGAGCTATCGCCGGACCCAGAGGTGACACACTGAGCCTCCAGCGAATGAAGGAAAGCCCACTAAGAGGGGTGCGGCAGCGTGAGGCCTCGGGACAAAAGGCAGCTGGGCCTCTGGTTGGGCAGGGCGCCTCCCTCAGAGGGGAAGTGACCCGATGCCTCTCTCCGCTCAGGGCACACTGGCCCCACGCAGCAGCGCCCGCGGAGCGTGAGCGCCGAGGAGGCAAGGCCAGGCTGTCCCCAGACGCAGCCTGCACGCCGCTCTGTCCCTCTGTCTGCATCCCGCAACGTCGCCCACGCGCAAGGGACAGCCCGGGGGCCGGGGCCACTCCCAGACCTCCCAGGCCCCGGGGCACGAGGGCTGTGGTGGCTGCGGCCTCGCACCCGTACCCGCTGGGAAGCAGACGTGAAGGCTGGCTCCGGCCTGCTCATCTCTGGTTCTACCGGCATCATGCCGTCCACCGCCTGGAGCTCAGGTGAGGGGACCCGAAGGTACCCAAGGGTGGCGACTGGGTGGTGGGGCTGGAGCTGGGCCTCACCGTGGGACAGAGCCCCGCCACCCATTCCTGGCAGCGTCTCGGGGCGGGATGCCCACAAAGGTGTAATTCACACGCCACCCTCCCGCCTAGGAGGCTCCCAATGGCGTCTATAGCGTGTCTGTATGTCAAACGTGTGTGCATTGTACTGCTCCACATGAATTTTAAATATATATATAGATAGATAGATAGATAGATACAGATATATAGACAGATATATAGATAGATAGATATAGATATAGATACATAAATATATAGATACATAGATATAGATAGATATAGATATATAGATATATCGATACATAAATATAGATATAGATACATAGATATAGATACAGATATAGATATAAATAGATATAGATATATAGATATATATAGATATAGATATAAATAGATATAGATATATAGATATAGATAGATATAGATATAGATATATAGATATATATAGATATAGATATAAATAGATATAGATATATAGATATAGATAGATATAGATATAGATATATAGATAGATAGAGATATATAGATGTAGATATAGATATAGAGATATAGATAGATATAGATATAGAGATAGAGATAGATATAGAGATAGAGACATAGAGATATAGACATAGAGATAGAGATAGAGATAGATATGATATATATATAGATATAGATAGATATAGATACAGAAATAGATATAGATATATAGATATATTAAACACATCCTTCAGCATTTTGGAAGTAAATGAAACCTCCTTCCGTGGCCTGCAGAGGCTCCAGGACCTGTCCTGTGCCCCCACACCCCCCACCCCGGTCTGAGGGACCCACCGGCTGCTCACTCTGCTGAGCTGTCACCCTGGCCTTCCCTCCAGCCCCCAACACTGCCCTCCTCACAGCTGCGGGGGACACACGGCTCCTTGGAGTGGCTCCAGCCACACTGGTCCCGGCTCTCGCCCGCCCCCTCTCTGGCAGTGCAGCCTTCGCTGTTACATGTGGCTTCAGTTTACTGTCTCCTGCAAAACCAGGAGCTGGACTACCTGCTCCCCAGGCCCCTTCCTGCTCGTGGCACCGCGTCTGGCGTAAGGAAGGAGCTCAGAACTCCCGGTGGAAGCCACGGGCGCCCTTTGGCGACAGGTCTGCGAGCCTCCGTCTCTCCATCTGCAGGATGCGCGCGGCCCCCGAGGTGGCATCCCTGCCGCTGGCAGGCGAGGAGGGGACAGGGCCCTCCCTCTCCCGGTCCCCGAGTTAAAGGAGGACGTGTACCCTGAGCCATCCCTGCAAGGCCGCGACTTGCTCATCGTTAGCCACAGGCGCTAAGCCATCACATCTCCCGGCCCTCCCGGGAAGCCCCTCTCCGCCTCCTTCCCGGAGGCTGGGCCATCGGAGCCCCTTTATCAGCCCCTCAAACCCCTTCCTGGTTCAGCCCTGAAACCTGGGGGCCGGAACTGGCAGCGTGAGACGGCTCCCAGACCCCCTCCCCGACGGTGTTATTTCCCATCACGGTTCCCGGTGTGGGACCCCGCGGGCTGCTCGCACAGGTGAGAAGGGAGATGTCGAAAGGTTTACCTATGATGTTCACCGTACTATCCACTTCGTTTTTTATAGCCGAGGCCAGGACCGCGTACTCGGGAGAAAGGTCACTTACTCCGTTACTAAGCCCCAGGGAGGACTCAACTGGTTCTTGCTAGGAAGAAGAAGAGAAAACACAATTGAGAACACGTCCTTCCCCGCCCTTTCCTCGGCGTCACTCCTGCCCTCCGTCCCTTTCCTCCGGGCTGGGTCCTCCGTCCCTCCTTCCCCGGCAGCCAGGAGCCAGAGCGGCCTGGTTGTGTGCAGGGTCCGAGGGGGAAGGAATGGCCCCATGCGGGCGGCTGCCTCTGCAGCGTGTGCACCTGCAGCCGGCAGCCCAGGCCAGGAGAGCTGCCCCGGCCTGCCCCGGTTCCGCGGGCCTCCACCCCAGCGCTGCCCCTCGGGGCAGGGGTGGGCACAGGGAGGCACCGTGCCACCTTTTACGGTTTCTGAGGAAAAGCTCCGCCCTCCCTTTCCAAGGAAAAGGCCTCCATCCCGGCCCAAGGACAGGAGCCTGCGGGTGACTTCCTCCAGATAGGTCTGCCCTGGACTCTGGCCACGGAGCTTCCTGCCCTGGGGGGAGGGGCCGGACTCCCGGCCAGGGCCTCCCTCCCCGTCCATAGAGCACCCACACTGCAGCCTCAGAGGCACGGCCAGGTGCCTGGATGTCCCTGCAGCCCGGAGCCACATGTTCCCGAGAGTGAAACAATGAGGCCATTTCCTCCTCCTCGGGGTCACTGCTCAGGCCTGCCTTCTTCCTGCCGCCAGAACCCCCAACCCCCCCCCAAGGGCACCAGCCACCTCCGAGGGCCACGGTGACTCGCGTGTGCTGGGAGAGGCCTCCCACAGCCAGCCTGCACGCGGTCCGAGACGGCCATGGAGCCGGACCGAAAGCATGCCACGGACAAGTGACCCAGAGAGGAGGGTGGGGCGGAGGAGCGCAGGCCGGGAGCAGGCCGGGTGGGGCGGCAGGACTGCGCTTTGGAAAGTCGGGGTGCTGCACACCTCCAAGTTTTTATCAACGTATTTACACACTACTTGGAACCAAAGATGAACACACATCCCCACCCCACCCCCAACACACACACACACTCACACACACACACACACTCACACACACTCACACTCACACACACTCACACACACACACTCACACACACTCACACACATTCACACTCACACACACTTACACACACTCACACACACACTCACACACACACACTCACACACACACACACACACACACTCTCTCACACACACACTCACACACACACACACACACACACTCACACACACACACACACTCACACACACTCACACTCTCTCACACTCACACACACACTCTCACACTCACACACACACACACTCACACACTCACACACACACACACTCACACACACACTCACACTCACACACACACACACTCTCTCACACTCACACACACACTCACACTCACACGCACGCACACACACGCACTCACACACACTCACTCACACACACTCACACACACACTCACACTCACACTCACACACACACACACTCACACACACTCACACGCACTGACTTAGGAAGCCACTCAGAGAGGGGGGAAGGCCTCTTCCTCCTGGAAAGGCCTCACCAGGGCCTGTACCTTCGGCCCTAAGAGAAACCCCACTGCGAGGCGGACCGAGAGGGCGATAAGGAAGGGCCAGGCAGCCTCTCGGGACGGAGCCCTCTGCTGCTCCCAGCAGCCTCCTGCCTCCCCAAGAAGTCTGTCCGTCCAGGGAGATCTCACTGGCCGGTCACCATGTGCGTGTGCTTTCCTGCTGTGATTTGCGGCCAGAATTAAAGTAAGACGTAGCAATCAAGCAAGAGCTCCAGTGTCGGGCAGCAGTGCACTCTGGGCTGTAAGGAAGTCTCAGCTCTTGGACAAGTGCCTGTGCCCCCCGATAGTCTGCGGCCTGCCGCCACCCCCCCAGGAATGGGCCCTGACACCCGGGCCCGGGGCAGGGGAGACCGGCCTGGCTCTGCAGGACCTCACTCGTCGCTGGACTGCACCTCTTGAGGCCTCTCTGAGGGATGGAGGACAGCGCTACACTGAGGACAACAGGGTCCATGTCATAAAGTGAGGACCAACTGAGATAAGTGCACACCCAGCACAAGCCGCACCCGGCTGGTGTGGCTCAGTGGTTAAGCGTTGACCTACAAACCAAGAGGTCACAGGTTTGATTCCCAGTCAGGGCACCTGCCCGCCCGGGTAGAAGGCTCCATCCCCAGTACAAGGTGTGCAGGAGACAGCCGATGGATGTTTCTCTATTACTGATGTTTCTATCTATCCCTCTCCCTTCCTCTCTTTCTAAAAAAATCAATAAAAACATTTTAGTTTTATTTTTTTAAATATATTTTATTGATTTTTTACAGAGAGGAAGGGAGAGGGATAGAGAGCTAGAAACATCGATGAGAGAGAAACATTGACCAGCTGCCTCCTGCACACCCCTACTGGGGATGTGCCTGCAACCAAGGTACATGCCCTTGACCGGAATCGAACCTGGTACCTACCAGTCCGCAGGCTGACGCTTTATTCACTGAGCCAAACTGGTTTCGGCAATAAAAACATATTTTAATTTTTAAAAAATATCTGTTATTATCTCCAGTCTCCGGTACAATTCTGCTCGCCCCAATCCAGTGGCCTCGCCTCAAGTCCCCTTCCCTCAACACTACCCGCCAACCCCGGCGGAGGCCTGTGGCTGCCTCTGCGGGATAGCACCTGGCGTAGCTGCACCCACCCACCTTCCTGAGGGCACCCTCCTCCCTTCTTCTCCCCTCCTTCTCCCAGGCTTTTCAGGGCCCCTCTCTGCACATCCCCTCGCGCCCCACCTCCAGCCACCCCCCCTTCCTCACTTCCCTCAAAAGCAACCACAGAACATTGGAAGGCATGCTGGAAGGAACTGCTCATTTCCATGGGTTTCTTCTGCTGTCTCAAGTTACTGTTCACTCACTCGGCTTCCAGGTTTCTTATCAGAGAGTAATGAGCCACTCAGACTTGCCTATATTTAAAAACCTGAATCACTCCAATTTCTCAGTCGAAGACGTGTTCCACACCATCTGCAGTTTGACTGGTGGCCAGTGGTACTCTGTCACCGTGCACTTGAGAAAACTGTGACTCAGACACTAAACTCCTTTTCCCAGGCCCGGTGGGCACACGGGAACTGAACGCGGGCTTTGGCCAGGCAACCTGGCCCGATTCCAGGGACTCCCTGTCTCCATCAACCCGGGTCCACATTAACCCCAACGGAGCCGTCAGAACCACATCCAGCCTCTTCCCCAGCCCCCACCATGCACCCTGCACCGCTTCTGTGTTGGATGGAGACCGAGGGCCTCTGTCCTCCACACCGCATGGCTCCTCCCGTCCCCGCTTCAGAGCAGCCTGTCCGCGTCAGTCTCCAGTGCGACTGTCCCTGGGCACAGCCACTCGGGGAGGACCGCGCAGCGAGCTGAACGGAGAGGTGTGCCCCGTGCTCCCTTCGGGGAGCCTCCATCCGGGTGAGAATGACAGGGAGCCTCACTCTCCTCGGCTGGAAGTCTATCGATGGAGTGAGAATACTTACCTACGGTAACCCTCATCTTAAACTCACTTTCCTTCTGTCTCTCTCTCTCTCTCAAGCAAGGAACCCAAAATAAACACGGGTGTGCAGCCGTCTATGGAGCATGCGTCTGGAGATCGTGTGGGTGCTGAGTGAGCAGCCGTGACCCAGGCTGTGCCCAGTGCCCCCCGGCCTCTGAGGTGCCCCCTCCTGCCTGGCCCGGGGACTCCTGACGCAGCCTCCTCTTCCCCCTCTTTCTCACTCCCGAGAGAGGCTCTTCTCTAAACCACCGTGGTTCCACACCCTCTCACCTCCCCCAGAGAGAGCCCTCCTCCGTGGTACGGTAATGATGCCACATCATTATGCCCAAGAATCTTTTTTTCTCGTAGAATCCAGGTTTGGTCTGCAGTGTAAGGGATTTTAGGCAAAAAAAGCAAACTGGGAGGGAAGCCTTCTTTCTAAAATAGCATACCATTGGGTGGCCTAAAAGCCGCATGGCAGGAGGGGCTTGAGTCCCAGGACACCAAGGACCACTCCCCCTCTGCTCCAAGCCCATTCTGTCTCATCCCTGTGCCTGAGGCCCCTGTCTAGATGTCCCCTCCCTGAGGCCAAATTCAACGCCTTCAGACCATTTCCCACCCTCATGCAACCCCACCCCCGAGTGCCATAGTTCCCCTGTGCAAAACTAATCTCCTCCAAGATAAAAGAGCATCTCCAGCCGAAACCGGTCTGGCTCAGTGGATAGAGCATCGGCCTGCGGACTGAAAGGTCCCAGGCTCGATTCCGGTCAAGGGCATGTACATTGGTTGCGAGCACATCCCCAGTAGGGAGTGTGCAGGAGGCAGCTGGTCAGTGTTTCTCTCTCATCAATGTTTCTAGCTCTCTATTCCTCTCCCTTCCTCTCTGTAAAAAAAAATCAATAAAATATATTTTTTAAAATAAATAAATAAAAGACCATCCAGTTCTCTCTAAAACACACATTTGGACCTGACAGCTGGGCCTCACGGAGCAGTCCACGGCATACGCCCTGCACCGAGGCCACCAGGACGGGCTCTCATGAACAGACGGAAGCCACCTGCTCGGTCCCAGAACCCCTTCTCCTTTCCTTCGTTCCTGGGAATGGACCTTCCTTCTCCGCCTCTGCCCCTCCCCCGGACCTTTCTCATCTCCTCCTCGGGTCCCTCCTGGTCTTCGTCCCGTGGGGCTCCTGTGTTAGGAAGGCATCTGTCTCCATGGCCTCCAATGGCACCCTCGTACATGGTCCGCATCTGTCCTCCAACTCTCCCTCCCACCCCCCTGAGCTCTCCACCTGTCAGACCAACTGCCCACCTGACTGACGGCTGCCTAGAGGCGGCCGTTTCAAACTCACACATTCCGAGTTAAACGCTGATGAACCTTCTCCGTAAAACACATTCCCACGATCCCCTGATCCCCTGAGGCCTGGCAACGCAGGGCCGCCCTGGGACCCGCTCCTGGCGCCCCCCCACCTTCCTCCTCCCTTCTCCAGAGAAATGTCTCCTGCTCCCCCGTCCCACTGCCCCTCCTTCACCTAAACCTCCTCCCGCAGCCCCTCCTCCCCGCTGCTTCCTGCCACCACGAGAAACCCTGCCTGCAAGGCCCTGTCCGTCCTGCTCCGCGTCCTCCCTAGGAGCTCAGCTTCGCCCCCAGAGCCCCCCGCTTCCACACAGTGCTCTGAGCAGCACCCCCGTGATTCGGGTTTAAAGCCTGAGACCTCTTGCAAGCAGTGAAGGGATCGCGCTCTCTGCTCCCGGCCCTGACAGGTGGCCACGTGGCCTGTCTCGCTTGGGACAGGGACGCGGAACGTGCCGGTTTTTAATGCAGCGCACCTGTCGGAGCCAGCAGCTCTACTGGAAAGTTCTGCCAGACCATGACCCGCTTTCTGTGACTTCTACCCAGAGGTCTGCGCTCAGAACGCACCCAGACCAGCCGGCCTGCCCCTCGCCACAGGTCCTCCCAGGTTCCATTTCCCACCTCAACGCCGATCCTTTGATCTGAAAGCACTTTGGAGTTTCAAAGCTCACATCTTTCATCTGCAAACAGCCCTGAGGCAGGAAGTGTTCACCGGCACCCCTTCGCTCCCCGTCTTTGATTCCCATTGTTCTCGCACGAACTGCGCCGTTTCCTGGCTGGTCCACGGAAGGCCACACGTGTGGGCAGCCCTCCTCCCAGGCCTGTGTGTGCTGGAGAGGGACTTCCTTTTATCGGACCCGCCCCCCAGGGCCTGGCTCCCATCCCACCGCCTCTCAACCTGGAGGCCCTGAGCGTGGGTGCAGGGGTTGGACGAACTTGGATTAAAACTCCAGCCCCGCGCCCTAGCCGGTTTGGCTCAGTGGATAGAGCGTCGGCCTGCGGACTGAAAGATCCCAGGTTCGATTCCGGTCAAGGGCATGGACCTTGGTGGTGAGCACATCCCCAGAGGGGTGTGTGCAGGAGGCAGCTGGTCGATGTTTCTATCTCTCTACCCCTCTCCCTTCCTCTCTGTAAAAATCAGTAAAATATATTTTTTTAAAAAAACAACTCCAGCCCCACGAAGCAGTGCAACCTTGGGGAAAACTCCTCAACCTCTCTGTGCCTCCATTTCCTCATGTGCGAAAGGGAGATGCCTGCCCGTCACAGGGAGCACTAAACGAGATGACAGTCAGAGCTTCCCTTGGTGGAGGCCCCACCGGTCAGCTACCACACCTCTGCTTTAGTCACCTCTGTCCTCATCCATCTTGACCTTGTGACGCGTTGATGCACAGCCTAGAGCTACTCACTACGGTGTCCCTTCATCTGACTTCCTCAGACGGGCAGTGACTTCATAAGGTGGATCTCCCTCAGGTGAGAATGGCTCACTGAGCACACAGTGTTTTCTCCCCAGACCGTGGGGCACACGGAGGCAGCGTTTCTGCACCTACTGCCTGCCCCCAGGGCCTGGGCCTCCCATCCCGGGAAGGCTGTTTGCTGGGAACACGTGACATGGAGTTCAACTGCCCGAGTGACCCCAGGAGAGTTCTGACCGAGCATCCATAGCTAGCTAACCCTCCATCCAGCCCGGACTGAATGGAGACTGGGCCGGGCTTGCTGTAACCACAGATCCTCAGGCATCATCACCACGCACAAGCCGAGCTTTCTCAGTGGCGGGACACTGCCTGGTCTACCAGGGGCCTGGTGCAAAGGACACATGCCTCGGAGCTCCGGGGTGTGTCGTGCAGCAGAAAGCCATGCACGCCTAGCCTGTGAGGATGAGGCCCTTCCTTCGGTTACATGGTTCCGAGACCCGCAGAGTGAGCTTGGGAAGGCTCCGCAGGAACGGTCAGAGAGCACTATGGCTCTCGCCGTCACGGGCCACAGGACGCGGGAGGCCTTCCCTGCAGGACGATGCACGCAGACTGAGATAACAAGAAGCGCCTGCTTTCTGCTGAAGGAACAGCCTCCCTCTGAGGGACCAGACCTTCCTCACAAGAAGCCTTCACAGGCACACCTGGCTGGGATGGAAGCTGAGCCGCAGGGCTGCACCTGACAGCAGACCTGTCACTGCTCTCCCGGGCAGATACGGCCGCGCCCACCCAGGCCTGAGCCTTTCACAACCTGCTCTTCCTGGGAAGACACGGCCATCGCCGATGGGACTGCAGGTGTCCTGGACTTAGAACACCACATGTCATCAACTCTGAGACGCACCTTTCCACATCCCTCTGATAACATGTGCCTCGTCATCAATTATGCCAGGGTTTCATTGCAAGCTGTTTTTCTAGCCTAGAGACACATAAACAAGGATGCGTCTTCACCCCCATATTGGTTTTGGATAGTCGATGGAGTGTGGGGGGCACGTCTCATCGAAGTTAGTTGGAAAGGGAGCATCTGTTATTCTGTGATTATTTCTCCATTAACTGAAACTGTGAAGTGAAATCTGCATTCTAATGGAAAACCGCCACTCCCACCCACATGTTATATCTATTTAAGCATCTACTTGGTCAGCGAACACTCACGCGTGTGTTCAGTGATCAAATATACACCAATCACCTGCCCTGTCCCGGGCACCAAGCTAGATGCTGTGAGAGCAGGAAGTCTATCTTTTAAAGATACAGACGGAAATAGTCATGGAAGAAACGACAGTGTCTGGAATTTGTTTCAAAATATTGAGCTACACCATATGACATTGTTTTTTTTGTAGGTCACAAATGACTGAAGAGCTGCAATTCCATATCAGATGTAAGGAAGTGGGTGGAAGAACGAATGCAACCCAATGACTGTCAGCTGATTGGTGTTGAAATTGGGGTGATGGTGTGCAAGTCAATTCTACTCATGTGTCTCCTTCCTGTGTGCATAAGATGTATCTGCAATAAAAAGCTAAAACAAAACTGGTCCTTAACATTGTGCTATATTTAAAATAAGGCAGAGGCTAAAAATACTGAAAGTGAAACTGGAGGTATGGCTATTAAAATACTCTGCCTAAAATACTTCTTTTCCATTGTGCAGGTTAAGTGTGGCTGAAACGTTAACTAGTACTTAAGTTTTCCCTCTACACTTAACTACCTTCACACGTGTAACTTACATCTGACGTCGATTTTTAAATCTCGTTTCCTCCTAGTGTGACTAAACCAGCTTATTTTTAAACACTGCAGTGTCTGGACAGTTTGTTTTTCTTCAACAGTAATTCTGGGTTAGAAATCAGGATACTCGGCATCTCCTTTAAGTTCAGTGCTAACTAATGGTGTGACCTTGGCCACGTGCCCCACAACCTCTGGGGTCCACATCACGCCGCCCTCTCAAGCCCCAGCTTCCTCTGCAAACAGAGTGCAGCGATCCAGGGGGTCTCCCCTCTGCTGGCCCAGGGTCCGAGCACGGTGCTGCTCTCTGACCAGCGGCTGAAGCTCATGCTCAGCTTGGCACAGCTTTCCTGACTACCCCCTGGCTAGCTACAGGAGCTCCCCAATCTACACACAAAGATTCCCCACTGCAGGGGTTTCAGATGCACAGCCTACCGGAACCCCACACAGACACAGCCCTGCGGGAAACCGCGGGGGGGAGGGGGGGAGAGCTGGCTGCAAAGGGGTGCAGGCCAGAGCTACTGAGGTCTCCACTAATCCAGCGATTGATCTCATCCCTGGGCCCCCAGCTAATGGTCTGCCGTGGAATAGATCTATAAAATATGGGTGATGCGGTTAATGCAAGTATATAATATTTAATATACATACCTTCCAGTATATGTGATAGCCTGAAAATGTCCTTCCCAGATATCAGCTAGGAGCTGGCTGCTGCAACTCAGCTGGTACTAGGTAACCAGCTGGCGACGAAGTGGGGACCAGAGGGAGGCCTGAGACTGGCCAGCTCCGTGAGAGTTGGTGACCTCACTCACAGATTTCTCAGTGAGGCTGCATGAAGCAGGGGTATGTGTGCCCGAGTCTACAAGGGAGACCAAGCCAAGAGGAGACGTGGAAAGCACGTAGAACACACACACACACACACACACACACACACACACACGCACACGGCCAAAGAACAAAGATCAAGTACGTCACAGAGGCCCTGTCACTGATGTTCATGAGCCAGAACCAGAACCATTAATACGGTCACAACGCTAGGCCTCTCCCCGAGCAGCCAGTGATTACCTTGATGTGCTTGACTCTGTCTTCCTTTTCTGTCTTTGGTTTCTTTCCTGTGGCGACAGAAAACAGTTTTGGATTAATGCATGAGGAACACCCAGAGAAACAGCTCCCCTCAATGAAACGCTGTCTAAAACTCTCCTTGAAGCTGTGCGTGCATTCACCTGCACACGCATGAACCTGTACACGCGTGAACCTGTACACGGCCAGAATTCCAAATGCTTTTCTGCCTTTGGTGACCCGAGAGTCCTTCCCCCAACCAGGATTATCCTCCACGGGGCCGACTACAGACGTGGAAACAAGGAAATCCTAAAGTTGTCATCTACACTGAGAGATCTCAGCATTAGCAAGTCCGAGTGTCTACCTTTTTTAGAAGGCCGCTCGGATAAGGGCAACATCCGGTAGACTCTGAAGGCGTTATTTCCTTTCTTTATACTTTTATCCTTGACTTCTTCGATGTCAGGCAAGGAGTTCATAGCACATCGAAAATTCGCCTTCCATGTTTTTGGATCGGGCTTATCGACTCCGGGTTGATGCTTTCCTAACAGAAGAGCCAGGAGAATGAGGGTTAGGGAAGAGAGAGGGGGAGATACTCACAAAAGTAACCATTTCTGGAAACACAGGACTGCGAGCCACCAAGGAGCACAGAGAACCGAGCTCTGAGTCCCAGGCCGTGCCTCCAGCGACCAGCGTCCTAGTTTGCCCGGGACTGGGGTGTTCTTGGGATGCAGGGAATTTTTGTTTTAAAATCTGGACAGTTCCGGGCCAGTTGGTACAAGTTGGCCACCCTGACTTTACCAAACAGCTTGAGAAAAAATAGTAATGGCAGAAGGATGGGGACTCCGTGTGAGTAACACGGAAGGATGGGAGGCCAATGAGCACAGGTACCCGCAGTGTCTCTTTTCCCTCTGACTGTCAGATAGTAAAAGTCCCTTCCTGTAAACAGCCCCCTTCCTAAATTCTGTTGTAAATAAATACATTCTTGACTACCTTATAGGGAGGTAAACCCACCCAAGTTTATAGCTGCAGAACAAATACGTTCTTTATGACCCCAGAACACCCAGAATTCTACGTAGAGGAAACACAAGCGCTGAGTTTCTGTGGGATGGGTGGAGCCTCACTTCCAAGTGGCGAGGTTTGTGCCCCACACCCATCCCCATGTCCTGGATGCACTGGTGTTAAGCCACAGGTTTTTCAGAGCCGTCTTTATGAGCCCGTCATCCAGGAGATTTTATATGTGTAGGAAACATAAAAACAAGCACTGCGGTATAACTGAAACCTGCTAAGAGAGCAGACCTTACGTGTGCCCAGTAAAATAACCCAAGTAGCTGAAACCAGTTTAGCTCAGTGGCTAGAGCATCTATCTGCAGACTGAAAGGTCCCAGGTTCGATTCCGCTCAAGGGCATGCACCTTGGTTGCTGGCACATCTCCTGTGGGGGGTGTGCAGGAGGCAGCTGATTGATGTTTCTAGCTCTCTATCTCTCTCCCTTCCTCTCTGTAAAAAAATCAATAAAAAATATATATATTTTTAAATAACCCAAATAATTAACAGATACGCATGGGAGGAAGTGAAGGTGTACATTAACTCGATGGGGAGCATCCTTTCACGAGGATCACATATCTCAGATCATCACTTTCAATGTCTCACACTCTTATTGGTCAATTGCACCACAACTAAGAGAAAAAAAGTCAGCATGCACACCACACAGTGCCCCCCCCACCCCCGCCTGCAGGCCGCGGGGCAGACACCTGTGTGGATCGCCCAGTTCCTGAAGAGCGGTGCGTCCTTCTCCACGTCCCAGCCGTGTCTCGCTGCGTGCATCCAGGGGATCTGGAAGATCTTCTTTTCCTGGAAAGAGAGGTGAGTGAGAATGGAGAACGACAGCCGCGGGTCTCAGGCCCCCGACGAGGAGGCGGCTTACGTTCCAGCTGGTCAGGTTCCCTGCCGAGCATCCACCATAGAACCTACTGCACACCAACCCCTTCCCCAGGTCCAACTGGGCAGCCCGCCGGTGAGGCCGGGAACCAGGCAGGGCCAGCAGAGCAGGAATGCGACCGGTGCCAATCTCCCAGGCACCACCCGGGAGATGCTGTGTGCCTAACCTGTGCCGCTTCTCTTTCAAGAACCACAGACAACTGGCCTCTGGCGGAACCGCCTCGTCCTTCTTTTATTCTTACCTCGCATTCCCATCATTTGGTCAAGAGGAGCCCCCGCTGCCCCAGGAAATTAAAAATGAGGCAGCTCTCCGAACGACCCCACTGGTGCTGGGAAAGGGAAGTCGGGTGGACGAAGCCACTGTCACGGGACCCAGTGTCTCGATGGGGGATCCTGCCTGCTGCTCAGCCTGCGTCTGCGCCCTGCACGGGCCGGCCGGAGCGTCCAGATGCCTCGATGACCACAGCGGACACTCCTTTCTTGGAGCAAAGAAATCCCTCCCTAAGATTCTTCTATCGGACCCTTCCCACCTCTCTTACAGCCCGGAAGGCAACTCGAAATCTCTTAAGCCACCCCTGGCAAACACGACTAGAAACAGTGTTTTTGAAACAGTCACACTCATGGTAAAACCACACATGTAACCTGGTTCAACCTGCAGCACCACTGGCCTCCCAGGTCCCCTGGCACCTTACATGTAACGACACATGCTCTCATGGTCTCGCTTCTGATTTCTGCAACAACCTAATGAGCTACATGTGTGTAATTACTTCCGATTCTCAGTTGAAGGAGCTGAGGAATGAAAGTAAATTATTTAGCCAAGGAACTTAGGACAATAAGTGTCTAAATGCCCATCTTCAGTCGCATCACAGAATCCCTCACCTCTAGTGCTCAAATGTATGAGATTTCTAGTTTCACAGGAGAACCTGCTGTCTTGGATCCTATGGACACTGAATTGTATTTTTTTTAAATATAATTTTATTGATTTCAGAGAGGAAGAGAGAGGGAGGATGAGATAGAAACATCCATGACGAGAGAGAATCATTGATCAGCTGCCTCCTGCATGCCCCCTACTGGGGATGGAGCACACAACATGGGCGTGCGCCCTGGCCGGGAACTGAACCGTGACCTCCTGTTTCATAGGTCGAAGCTCAACCACTGAGCCACACCAGCCAGGCAGGAAAAATGCATTTTTCAGTTCTTAGGCCAGTTTGATGGTTTCCAGGTCTGAGGTCTCCACAGGAGTCACAGGCAGGAAAGTGCTGGTAGGGATCTTCCGCCATTTGGGTCTCACAGTGAAAACAGAAAGGGTCCCGCCGACCCGAAAGGGCTCGGTGCCTGAGCACAGAACCAACTGCACAGCCTGAACCAGAGGATGCCAGGACATTTGAGAGTTCCCTAAAAGCTGTTCACGGGGGAAATCCTGCTGTGTTTACAACTCAGTGAGTAAAGGAGAACCGAAAGTGGGAGATTTTCGTTAACCCGTTCTGTTCGCTCTGTGCCATCACGGAGACAGCAGGTCTCAGGTCAGTCACCTCCCGGAGGGCCGGGCCGGAGCGGCTGAGTGGCCCTGGATCGCTCCCTGCGGACGAAAACCCCAAAGGGAGTCACCTAACGCAGGCTCGACGTTCACACGAAAAGGAACCGACTTCGAGGACAGAAGGCTTCCTCAAGAGCACAACCAGAATTTAAAGTCTGTGCTTCCAGACAGGGGCCCTGCAGGAACTGGCTGTTGCTTTTTTTTTTTTTTTTTTTTCCCTAGGTCAAACACGTTCTGTGGGACACAATCTGAAATCCATCTCGTAAGACACAGAGCTGATTCTCACAAGTGGATCTTTTCAAGCATCTGCCTGCGTGCAGGAGATTGTGTACACACACACACACACACACACACACGCACACGCACGCACGCACACAGCTACACAGCTATACCGTCTCCCAGAACAGAGTCCGAAAGGTTGGCGATCTCTGTCCCAGAAACTGGGCCCAAAGCATGAAGCTACCAAAGCAACGACTGAACTAAGCAATCCTCCACCACAGAGCCTGGTGAAATGGGCCCAGGGCCCAAAGAGACCAAAGAAGTGGCCAATAAGCACATGAAGAACGACTCGACACCACCCCTCCTCGGAGACATGCCAATTGGAACAACGAGATGCCACTTCACAGCCACGAGGATGGCTAGAGCAAACACACAACATCCTAAGTGCTGGTGACGATGTGGAGGAATGGGAACGGCCACACAGGCTGGCGGGAGGGGAACTGGGGCGGCTGCTGCGGAACACACATTGGCTGTTCCTCAAAGAGGTCAACGGAGTCACCACGTGGCCCCGTGACTCCGCTCCTGGACGCATCCCCGAAGAATTACAAATAGGTGATCAAGCAAATGTGCTAGTTCATAGCTGCACATTCATACGTGCAAGTTCATCGCTGCGCTACTCACAACAGCCAAAAGGCAGCAGCAACTCGCCTGTCCATCAACGGATGGACGGGTAAGAAAACGTCGCACATGCACGTGCTGCATAACCGGGAGCCTTCTTCATCCCCCGAAGGAAAGCAGTGCTGACACACACGCATGGCAACACGGGGGGACCTGGCAAACACTGTGCTAAGTGAAAGAAGCCATGCATACATATGAGCCTAACCAGTGGTCAAGGACAATAGGGGGTGGGGAGTATGAATGGGGAGGAGTGGGAGATGGGAATGGGGGGATGAGACCAAATATGTGATACCTTAACCAATAAAGAAAAAATTTTTTTAAAGATTAGAACTCAAAAAAGAAAAAGAAGAAAGAAAGAAGCCAGACACCAATGCCACATATTGCATGAATCAGGCAAATCCACATACACAGAAAGCACATCCGTGGTTGCCATGAGCTAGGGAAGGGCATGGGAGTGGTCACGTGAAAAATAAGCATAGTGTTTCCTTTTCAGGCGATGGAAAAGTTTGGAATTCAACACTGGCGATGGTTGCATAATATTGTGAATGTACTTAATGCCACTTTTAATTGATAAATTTAAAAAAAAAACACTTTGGCCGAAACCGGTTTGGCTCAGTGATAGAGCGTCGGTCTGCGGACTGAAAGGTCCCAGGTTCGATTCCGGTCAAGGGCATGTACATTGGTTGCAGGCACATCCCTGGTAGGGGGTGTGCAAGAGGCAGCTGGTCGATGTTTCTCTCTCATCGACATTTCTAGCTCTCTATTCCTCTCTCCTCCTCTCTGTAAAAAATCAATAAAATATATTTTTTTTTTAAAAACAAGTGATAAATTAAAGAACAACCTCATGGGCCTGGTCAGTGTGGCTCAGTGGTTGAGCGTTGACCTTTAAACCAGGAAGTCACTGTTCGATTCTCAGCCACGGCACATGCCCGGGTTGTGGGCTTAACCCCCTATAGGAGGCATGCAGGAGGCAGCTGGACCATTATTCTCTCTCATCATTGATGTCTCTACTTCTCCCTCCCGCTTCCTCTCTGAAATCAGTAATAAATAAATAATTCCTACATGCAACTTTTAAATAAACCACTAATAAATGCATCACACATCTCTTTTTTCAAAAAGACCATGTTGAAAGGTAAAGGTGAAATTCATTTTAAAACTGAAAGAGACTCTGACCAATAACCATCTGGTCATAGATCCCTGTGTTCTATGGGACGGTGATGGCACTGGGCTGCATCTGTGCAGACCGTGACATCAGCATGCGCTTCAGGAGCCCTGAGTGCCCAGCCCGCACAGGTGGTTGGCGCTCACACCGTGTACAGAAGGACTACGAGGACAAGAGCCCACCCGTGTCTACCTCTGAGGGCAGGAGAGAGAAGCACTGCTTGAGTTAGGAAGAACATTTAAGATGACCTCGAGCAATGCAGAACCATCAGGCCTCGGCCCCACATGGAAACCAGTTCTCTCATCTCCCTCTGCCTCTCCTTTCCCCCCCATGTTTATATAAGACGTTCTTGTTTCCTTTGCTATTTTTGTTTGAACTCCTTACCTGATCGGAGATAGCCTGACAGTTATACAAGCACAAGCCTGCTCTCAGGGAAGAGCAGGGAAAAGTATGGACTCCCCGCTGGGTCCAGGCAGACCTCCAGGATGAAACACCAACATCGAGAGCCCGAGTGGGCATGACGGGAGCTACTAAGAAAGAGTGGGCCTGGCTGTGACTGCCTCCTCCCTCCCTCTAGAACTGGCCCAGGGAACCACATGCGAGCACCCGGACCGACCCAGAGCTGGCCCTTCAACAAGCCAATGGCAAGAGGGCAACCAAGGAGGGTGCACTGTCCACAACCAGGAGGGACTTTGAATCACACAACCAAACACAACACACGGACATCTTTTGGATTCTGATTGAACAAATCAACTGTAAAAAGATATTTTGGGAGTACTCATGGCATGATATTATACTAAAAACTTATGGTTAATTTTCCTGATGGACAACAGTATTATGAAGACATGAGAAAATGTTAAGTCTTATAGGTGTACACTGTCAGGGAGTTGCTCTGTAAAACCACACACACATAAGCACATACACACACACATAAGCACACACACAGATAAAACAAAATGTTGGTAATTGTTAAATGGAGATGTGCATTACTAAATCTAGATGGGAATTCACTACACTATTCTGTCCAGTCCTTGGGCCATTCAAACATACTATCTGTGTTTGCAAAGACTCGTAATAGAAAGTTACTGGCCCCAGACAAGGCCCCATCCAGGTCACATGAAATGGTCACATGGTTTCCTTAAATCATTCCAATTTACTTCAGACCCCATCTTGTTTCTGAAACGACTCACTTAAACAAACACATTCAAATACAATACCATTAGATTAAAAATAAGCAAAAAAAAAAAAAAAGTGAATGAGAGAAAAGGAACAAAAAATGTAAGATCTGAGCGGTATCTAAAATGATCAAATGAGGCCAGAAGTGATGTTAGTTTAAAACAACAATGCTGCAGTACCTTGTACACCTGTTAGAAGTGGCCCAATTTGGCTCTCCGCTCCTGGCACCTGATATAGAGCTAAAGACTGACCAGCTAAATGAGTCAGTGTGTCCTTAAGATTAAAGATGAGGCGGGAGGTAGAGGAAGACAAAGAAACTTGCTCAAAAGAACTGCAATATCCCTGGTAGTGGGAGAGAAACCTCCCTCAGGCCCTCTCAAAGAAGGCATCTATATATATAAAAAGCCAGCGACTGGAATGCTGGAATGACCAGAACAACCAGAACAACCGGTTGCTATGATACCCACTGTGGCCAGCCAACCTGCCTGATCAGGGCAGGACAGGCCAGCCAACCTCCCAGGTCTCCTCCCCTCCAGCTGGCCCTGCCCTGGGTCAGCCCCATCCCCCACCCCAATCCGGGGGGATAAGCAGGTCAGCCAACCTCCCACGTCCTCCCTGCCCCAGCCAGCCCACTCCAATCAGCCTCCACACCCCAATCAGGGGCAGGGCCGACCAGCCAACCTCCCATGTCCCCTCCACACTGCCGGCCTGGCCCAGATCAACCACCATCGAGGCAGGCAGGCTGGGCCCCACCTGTGCACGAATTCGTGCATCAGGCCTCTAGTAATCTATTATACTTAGTTGCTTTTCTGAGTTTTAACTATATATAATAATATCAAGGGTTTTTTTATTTTTTATTTTTTATTTTTTACAGATACTGTCTTCCTGATTCACCCTTACCAGTTAGGATCCATTAAATGGAGAGTTTGAGAAGGATCAATACGAAGTGTTTACATATATGGGGGAGGAGTGTAAATGGTAGAATGCTTACTTGTTAGGACAGGTTGGCACACAGAGTTTCACAACAAAGAGAAGTCGTTTTAAACCACTAGGCTGCACACCTGAAACTAATATAATGTTGAATGTAATTGAAAACTTAAAAAAAAGAGAAATGATAAAATAAAATAAAATTCTAAGAGAAGACTTTTTTAAAAGCAAAAACCAGCAGAAACCGGTCTGGCTCAGTGGTGGAGCATCGGTCTGCAGACTGAAAGGTCCCAGGTTCGATTCCGGTCAGGGGCATGTGCGTTGGTTGTGGGCATATCTCCAGTAGGGTGTGTGCAAGAGGCAGCTGGTCGATGTTTCTCTCTCATCGACATTTCTAGCTCTCTATCTCTCTCCCTTCCTCTCTGTGAAAAATCAATAAAATACTTTTTTTTTTAAAAAGACAAAAACCAAAGTTCTCTTCACATAGAAAATACTGGACACCAATGAATACTCCCCATTCCCCGCATGACACCCTCGAGCCTCCCGTCCTCTGGCCCGGAGAGCCAGGAGCAGCAGGCAGTCTGAGGGAGGAGGCACCACAAGCACAGCGAGAGGCCGCCGCCCGCGGTCGCCGGAACGCCAGCGCCAGCTGTCACCGCAAGGCGAGGGGGGCCACTGTCTGAGATGAGGACACACACCGTCACACAGCCAACTTGATGTTTTTATGGTCAATTTTGCTCGGTTGGTTTTTACAATTAACAAGCATAAGATTGTGAACACAAAGAACGATTTTACTTTCAGAGGTCCACATGCACCTGCTTTAGTAAGGATCAGGCACACACTCGCACATACGTACACTCATGTGCACACGCGTGCACTCACACACGCACATTCACACAGAGAAATAGACATACATACTCATAGACATACACACATGTGCACACATATATACCCACACGCTCGCATGCATGCATGCACACTCACACACACCGGCACACTCACCTTGTTCAGCCACTTCAGCCCTGGTATCGTGTTCGAGTTGATCTGTTCCTCCAGCCACGGGCGCATGCGCATCCTCTCCACCGGCATGGTGCCCGTCTGCAGAGAGACAATCCATATGAGGCGCTGGTGCTAATGACTATCTTGTCCATGCTAACCTGACCCTCTTCTGCTGTCCCCTTCCTCGTAATCCCATAACCTGTGTCCGGGGCCTGGGGAGGGAGGCATATTCAGGGGCTCCACCTGCTCTTGTAGCTATGTGGTTCCAGAGGGGCTGTCTCCGTGGGGCAGTGCTGCTGGCCAAGCAGGCTCTCAGCTGAGAGGCTCCCACAGAAACTCAGCCACCCAGAGAGTCCAAGACCTGAGTGACCCCGCCTAAGGCTAGGTCTCGCCCCCTCCCAGCCAGGTTACCAGCACACACCAGCATTCAGAGCACCAGTACTGTACACCTGTGGGTATCATCCTCCTAGGACCAACAGGGACGGTGCAAAACCGTTGTTGTGGGAAAGACATTACGACCAACTGATTCCTTTGAGATGTTAGGGCTACAGAAATGCTCTGAACCCCAACACTGCCACTTGAAAGCTCTAAAGGGATCAGTTCACTGGGTCCAAGGTCCCTCCTGAGAGATCCTTGCTCTGGCTCAGCCTTGCTTTCTGTGAACGCGGGCACTCACTCCCACAGAGATTCTCTTCACGGCGCCCCTCCCTCTCCCGACACCATCCGTCCTCTCCTCCAGCTGGCCTTCCCTCTGAAAGCTGTCCTGTAGCTCAGCACCTTTCCTCTGCCCGCTCACACAGTGCTCCCCCCCCCACCCGGATGCCCTGGAGGCAGCTTTCCCATGTCCATCGACATATACCCAGAGAAGAATCACTAACATCGCTCTGTCGTCCTCTCATTCATCCTGTTTACACAAAAATTTCAATTTAGTGCAGATTCAAAAGCCAAGGTGATGCCAGGTCAAGCCTCCATTCTATAGAACTGGGGGGGACAGTGTGACATAGCCCTCTTTCCACCCTTAGCTGTCTTTCTTTTACCCATTCCCCCTCCATTCAGATAAACTTGGGCTGAGATGATCAAAGCCTCATTAACTCCTTCTTCCAGCTCCCAAAGGACGTCCTCCCTCCTGGATGCCCTGCCCCCAGCTCTGCCTGAGTGCTAGCATCTTTGTGTGACCCGGATGGGGCCTCGCCCTTTGCCGATAGAGCCTAATCAATTCTAGAACGGAATTCTAGAGCTCGCCTCTCCCAGGTACATCTCTCCCAGTTCGGATGCATGTAAGGCTGCAGATGACTCCTACTTTCCCAGACCACGCCCTCTCTCCTCTTTCCCGGTCCTTGCCAACCCTCAGCCTTCCTCCAAGACCCAGCTCCCACCCTCCTTTCTCCACGGGCCTTGCCCGTCCACACAAGCCTGGAGGAATCTCTCTTCCTGTGACTTCCACACTGCTCACTGGTCTTACACACCCACTTGAAAATCAAGCATGGCTTTAGGAAAGCTATTGTAAGCTATCTTTATTCTTACCTAACTCTTACTTTAACTATGAACTCCCAATTGTGTGCACGCTTCCTTCCTAACCGAACGGTAAGCTCTCTGAGAGGAGGAATTCCACCTCTTACGGGTCCTTTTATGACCCTACAAAGCCCTCCACCCCAGAGACCTTCAATACAAGACTCAGGCCAGCTCTGAAGATCAGCCTAGCTGGGTGGCATTGCACATGGGCTCCATCCACTCATCTGGTCACCATCCTTTGAGACGAGGGAAAGGAACCTCAAGGACAGTCCAGAAGGACGTGCAATGGCCACAAGGAGCCCCAAATACAGCTGCTCTTCGTGGTTCTCAAGTCCTTCCTGTCAGTCACGTATCCACCTGGTCACAGAGCACTCACTGAGAACGATATTCCAGCAGCAGGAAAGGTAAGACATTCCTGCCTAACAGAAGACCGGGAAGAAGAGAACTATCACACCACACGGAGCCCTGTTTGTAGAACGAGGAGGAGCTACAGGGGAGCACTGGGAGGAGATGTCCACAGAAGACCCTCCTGGGCGACTGGCCACTGGGAGGGCTCTGCCCAACAGGGGGATGAGCGCCAACCCGGTCTCAAGGTCTGGGGGTGCAGAGAGGGGGCAGATGGGTCCAGAGGAGTACCGGGAGTAGAGGGAGGAGCACCCTGAGGAGTAGCTACATTCATCACAAGCTCTTCAGAGGGGACCATGTGACAAGCAGAACTGCTTCGGACCATGCCGTCCTGGTGTATCCAAACTTAGCAATGCGGGAAATGACAGGGATGTGAAAACGGCCCTGCTTCCGCTCCATCGGTATAATCATATGCTATGTCCTCCCCTCCTCCTCTCCCCCCCCCCCCCACAAATGACCCATTTAGGGGAGAAGATGGTCACCTGAAATTTTTCAAAAAGCTTTCTGACTTTAAAACAAAAGCTTCCATGAGGAGGTCCAGTCAGCCTCGTCATTTGTGGATTGCATATTTGCAAAATCGTCTACTCACTAAAATGTATGTGTAATGCCCAGATCAAGTTGGCATTCTGCCTCATTCCCGCTCACCCTGTAAACGAGTGTCCTTCTCGCTGTCTATTTCGTGCAACATTGCTCTGCGTTGGCGGTTTTACTGTTTGAAACAGCCGGCAGGGATGACGTGTGGAGAAAAGTGTGTTCCTCTGAGGCCCGAGTCAGTGTTGTTGGCTGCAAGTTCAATGTCAGTGAACCAACCGTGGTTAAATGAGGAGCCTTCACACAGAAGCACACCCAGAACATGGCTGCTGATTGGTGGATGCAAACGCTGTGATCAGAGCCTCACGGGAACCGAAGGTCCTTGAAGAAGGAGGGGAATTTGAACGAGACACACACGGAGAGGGCCACATGAGCACACAGACAGCGGGAAGGGGGCCAGCGAGGGCAGAGGCTGGAGAGCCGCTTGTAAGGTAAGGAAGGGAAGAGAGCACCGTCGGAGAGAGCACTGCCCTATAAGCACGTTCCTCTTACTGACCGGATCTGGACTTCTGTCCTCCAAAGCTGTGAAGGGAAAACTTCTGTCCCCCTGGGCCACCGTTTGCGGTACTGTGTGAAGGCTGCCCGAGGACACAACGCAGAGGCAGGCTGACTCAGGTGCAGGGGCCCACCCTAGGCCGCAGGTGAAGGCGCCCCGAGGTCGTGAGAAGGAAGGGGAGACGCTCAAAGACCCAGGCAGGAGGTCCAGCGCCCAGAAGACAACCAGGAACAGGAAAGATGCCAGAGACAGGCTGACCCTGCAGGGCCGGGAGAGCCACTCCTAGGGTGCTGCCCATCTTCCCACGGCTGCAGAGGAACTGGAGACTCAGGTGGGTCTCCAGTCAGCTTGATTAACAGTGAAGGTGAGAGCCGATGACGAAATCCAGAGCAGTGCTTTACCCTCTCTCCTGTGTAGATGGATCTCCGTTCGCTAAGTCCAGGTAAGGTCTCTGACGAACAAGCCCCGGGGCCTCAGCCCACACTGAGGCTGTGGATGAGCTCGTACGTTTACAAGTCACCGGCTCTTCTGTGACTTCCTGCGAAGTCTGGTCATTCTGGCAAACAGGCCCCATCCGTGCCAGTGCCAAACGTGGCTGCCTCATCTCTGTGTTGGCCCAAGCCTTAGTGCATACTAAGTCTTTTTCTTTTTCTTTTCAAATATATTTTATTGATTTTTTTTTACAAAGAGGAAAGGAGAGGGATAGAAAGCTAGAAACATCGATGAGAGAGAAACATCAATCAGCTGCCTCCTGCACACCCCCTACCGGGGATGTGCCCACAACCAAGGTACATGCCCTTGACCAGAATGGAACCTGGGAACCTTCAATCCACAGGCTGATGCTCTATCCACTGAGCCAAACTGGTTTTGGCCATATTAAGCCTTTCTACCCAGGATGCAGCTCAGCCAAACTTGGAAGCTTATCGCTCATCAAAATATGGCAGAAATCACACGTGTAAAGTTTTTCCTACATCTTTAATCAAGACTGTCATTAAGTACACGAGGGTTTTTAGGAAAAGCAAAGACAGCAAGTGCCTTACCAGAAAGGGAAACTGCTATGAAGGGCTCACTTATTTCAGGTTCATTTTTTTCTTATTCTCAGAGAATCATTTTATTGACTTGCTTACTATCAGCCATCTTCTGTATAATCACAGGACAAGCTGAACATCCCACAGAACAACATTGAACATATCAATGACTCCCAGAGTATAACCACTGATATTTTCTCCAAGTCTTCATACCTACAGTGATTAATAAAGCAATTTCCAGGGATTGTCATCTCGAGCTGTGGTCCACGTGAGTGTGAATTATTAACACCAAGTAACCAAAGTGATTTATATATGACCATGTGGTGTTTTGTTTAACAGCCGGGACATCCCTGCTGATACACAATGAAAAGCCAACCGATTTACACTTCCTCTTTTTTACTCATTTTATAGCCAGGCCCCACCTCCCACCCTGGACAGATAACGGATGACTTGGTGTTGGCACTTGACACAAATGAGAAAGAGCGAAGTTCGACACAGATCCCTCATGACTCTCCGAATTTGAGCACACGCTCTTCATTCTGTGAAAGAAAGCGAAGGTGGAGTTCTACAATGAGTCTGACATCAGAAACTCATCAAGTAGTTTGCACCAGAAATATATCCTATTTCCAGAGACTAAGAGACTGGGGAGACAGTCCCGGGGGAGGGGGGGGGGCAGACCGAGTACTGAGCATACCGAGGAAAGAGGCTAGCTTGGCCTGTATTTCCTCGCTTCCATCAATGAGATTCCAACTGATTGACAGGTCAGTCTTCTTTCTATCAGGCAAGTTTCCCACAGGCACCAATACCCCAGCCACATGAATCTTGAACCAAGCTAAAGAAGGTATGGAACTGGTAGGAAAGGCCCAGAGAGTCAAAATACAGCAGGAAACAGAACACCGGTGTGCAGTCCTGACGTTGCCGTTACTACGGCCAGTCACTCCCTCGTTCTAGCCCACACTTTGATCATCTAAAAAAAAAAAAAAAAAAAAAAAAAGAGAGGTTTCAAAAAGATAACTTCCGGGATTATCTAAGATTCTAGGAATCCTTGTGTAACATGC